CCGGGCGGTGGTGGCGCACGCCTTTAATCCCAGCACTCGGGAGGCAGAGCCAGGCGGATCTCTGTGAGTTCGAGGCCAGCCTGGGCTACCAAGTGAGTTCCAGGAAAGGCGCAAAGCTACACAGAGAAACCCTGTCTCGAAAAACAAAACAAAACAAACAAAAAAAAATTTGTGTATCTTGCCGGGCGGTGGTGGCGCACGCCTTTAATCCCAGCACTTGGGAGGCAGAGCCAGGCGGATCTCTGTGAGTTCGAGGCCAGCCTGGTCTCCAAAGCGAGTTCCAGGAAAGGCGCAAAGCTACACAGAGAAACCCTGTCTCGAAAAACCAAAAAAAAAAAAAAAAAAAAAAAAAAAAAAAAAAAAAAAAAGCTGAACGGCCAATAGCTAGGTAGTAGAGGGATAAGCAAAGCTGGCAGGCAGAGAGAATAAATGGGAGAAAAAGAGAGGGCAGGGGGAGAAAGAGAGGGAGACACCCGGGGCCAGCCAAGCAGCCACCAGTCAGTAGACACGGAATAGGACAGAAGAGAGAGAGAGAGAGAGAGAGAGAGAGAGAGAGAGAGAGAGAGAGAGAGAGAGAGAGAGAGAGAGAGAGAGAGAGAGAAAGGTAAAAAGCTCTGAGGCAAAACATAGATGAAGAAAAACAGGTTAAGTTATAAGAGCTATTGGGACAAGTATAAGCTACGACTGAGCATTCACAACCAATAATAAGTCTCTGTGTCATGATTTGGGAGCTGGTTGGTGGCCCAAAAGAAAGCCTGTTACAGGTCCCTGTGGTGCTGGGCCATACATAAATGTCCCTAAGGACACCAAGAGCAAAAGAGACACAAATGTTCAACACTTGGTGGCGATGGTAGCAGGTGATTATAAACATAGATTTTCCTGTTGTATCATTTTGGAAACAAAAGATGAATCATTTTTCTGATCAGTGGTTCAGTATTTTCACTAGGGAGTTTGTATAGGTCCCCCCCCCCCCTTTTTTTTCAAGCAGGGCCTCATAGTCCAGGCAGGTCATGAACTCACTATGTGCTAAAGATGGCCTTGAACTCCTGATCTTCCTATCTCTATTTCCCAAAGTGCTGGGATGGGATTATAGACATATACTACCTCAACACACTAGACTTGTTTTTTTTTTAAAGATTTGTTTTTATTATTTTAAAATTGATGTGTATATGTTTGTGTGGGTATATACACTTGAATGCTGGTGCAGGTGAAGGGCAGAGATGTTAGATCCCCTGGAGCTGGAGTTACAGGCCATGGTGAGCTGGGAGCTGAACTCAGGTTCTCTGCAAAAGGAGTATGTACTCTTAACCTCTGGGCCATCTTTCCAGCCCCTGAGCTTGATATATAATCTTAATATATAAAGTTTTGTAATCTTTAGTTGAATTACAGAAAATGAAACTGTTTCAGAGCTAGGATAAAGTTTTTTTTTCCTGTCAAATAACATTTCTAAAACTGCTGAATTTGAGTCACGTGATGGTTTCTGCACAGGTGTGTAATTTATAAAGCCAAACACTGCCAAATCCAGCTAACTCAGAAAATGCAAGTGTGGAAATCCAAGGCCGACAGCATCTTTAAACACAATTATTCCTGTTAACATGCTGTCTCATTAGACTACTTTAATTTTCTAGCGATTGAACAACACTTAACTTCTACTAAAAATATTTCAGCCTATGGATAAATACATTGATCTTCATCTGTTCATCAAGGTGGGTTTGTTAAATTATAACTGAGCTCAGATACTCACATCAGGTATCTCAAGGAGCATTTAAAATTCTCAGTGGGGAAAAAGAACCCAACTTGACAGGTTCAAGCTACAAAAACTATTATTTTAAACCATCAGTGGCAGGAATCCATCAGAAGTTTGAGCTTTGAAGGCTTTTTTTACATGTGTAGTCACATAGGGGTGTGTGTGTGTGGGGGGGCTTTCCAGAAAATCACAAATGTGATACTGTTATTTACACAAAAGGAGGCATTTCTGTATTGTTAAGGTTTCTCACACATGCTTTTCTTTTAAACAAACTGAGTTGTATATGCAAGTTCTAATAATCAGAAAAATACACGGGTATGTTTTAAATCTTACTTGTCAAAATGTTTTCAGCCTCCAAACCTGGAAATAAGGTCGACGCTTTGAACTGATGCCATACTACTCACACAATGGGGGCTGTCTTGGTGCAGGCAGCGTTCTGTGCCTCCATCAAAGGCTGTCGGGGCAGGGGGGAGGGGGGGACGCCTCACCTCATGAGCTCATGTGCAAACCGTCCTTAATTGTGAGCACCTTGAGCGGAGGCACCACAGGAGACAGAAATCTGAGCTACACAATGCCTTCAAATTAGAACTCATGCTGCAACACTGAAAATGCCTTTGTATAAAAATTAGACCCAGATCTTGGAGGATAGGTCAGACCTGTAGTTATTTAAATTCGGTTGAAGTTGTCACTGTATGAAAAATCTTTTCAGGTATAAACCTCTTCTCTGAGCCAATAGTGTGTCTACTATCACTTTTGGTCATGCTGCATTTAAATACAAGCAAGGGTGAATTGATATTGTAGTTGTGATACTTAAGTGTGACCTCAAGAGAACTTTAATTTCCCTTGCCTTCGTCTCCTCATTTGCAAAAGAATGAGGATTTTGGCAGGGGTTTTTGAGTGAATGTGCCTGGCCCATGAAATCCATATCATAAATGTTAACTGCCAATATTGGCTATTGTTCGATTATTATGTATCTCACACTTTTTGTAGAAAACCCATCAGCACATAATTAATAAGTCAGTTTTAACACAATTCATTCTTTCACCAAACCTAAAAGGGCATTATTTAGAAGAAAAAGGAATACATATAGGAAAAACAAAACAAAAATTAACCATGAGAGTTAGTAAACCAAGACACAGAAGATCCCAAATTGCATTAACTCAGATCAGAGTTATCTACCCTAAGCTTCTTCAAATTCTTCCTAGTTCCAGCCCTTCTTGCCAAAAGTAATGCAAAAGGGGAGGGAGTCTCGTCACATCCGAAATTAGGCTGCTGCTCAGACAAAAAGAGAACCTACATGCATCAGGAAATAATGTGCTGATCGTGACATTTTAACTGATGTGGAAAACGTGCTTCCCAGGCAAAAAAAGGCAGTAAAGAGTCCCTGCTTCAGCCTTCATGTTCTTCCATGTCTGTGAGTTCAGCATTTGTGGACTGAAAAATATTTTCTTTTAAAAAAAATGTGTTTGTAGGGGCCAACAATATAGCTCAGCAAATGAAGGTGCCTGCTGCTACTGGTATCTGACACATGAGTTCAGTCCCCCGGACCCACAGGTGGAAGGAGAGTATCAGCTCCTGCAAGTTGTCCTCTGACCTCCACAGGCATGCCCACACACATACACACAAGTAAATGTAAGAGAAAGTGTTTGTACTGAACACACACACACACACACACACACACACACACACACACACGCGCACACACACACACACACACACACACACACACACACACACACCATTTTTTTGTGATTATTCCATACACAAAACACTTGTTTTGTTTTGTTTCCAAATCAGCAGTTACATTGTACACGTGTTGTAAGTAATCCTGAGGCATGTAAACATAGGAAGACATACAGGTAGGCTAGAGACAAATACTATGACATTTTCTATAAGGGACTTCAGCATCTGTAGTGTTTGATATCTACAGGATGTTCTTGAACCAATTCTCCACAGATACTTCTTTTTGCCTTTCTGGGTGTGCTGACTAGTTTTCTATCAATATGACACAAAGTAGAGTCGTTTGAGAGAAGGGAGCCTCAACTGAGAAAATGTCTCCATAAGATCAGGCTGTAGGCAAGCCTGTAGGGCATGTTCTTAAATATTGATTCATGGGGAGAGTCCAGCCCATTGTAGGTGGTGCCAGCCCTGGGCTGGTGGCCCTGGGTTCTATAAGAAAGTAGGTTGAGAAAGCCATGGGGAGTAAGCCAGTAAGCAGCACTCCTCCATGGCCTCTGCATCAGCTCCTGTCTGCAGGTTCCTGCCCTCTTTGAGTTCCTGTCCTGACTTACTTAGATGATGAACTGTTATACTGAAGAGTAAGCCAAATAAACCCTTTCCTCCCCAAGCTGCTTTCAGTCATGACGTTTCATCACAGCAATAGTAGCCCCAAGACAATGGCATATGAAACTAAGGGATGCTACCACTGTCCACATGTGTATTGTGTTGCTACCCTACAGGTCCATCAGTATGACCCAAATGTGCTCAGACATCTCTAAATTTCTCCCAAGGTCCTCTGTGTTTTGTTGGTCACATCCTGAGTTAGAAATTCTTGAGAGGCTGTCTACATCACTATCCATACTTCTGCTGTGCAAGATCCAGTAGAGAAGGAAATATGGCAGATCAGTGGCTCCCATCAGATCACAACACTCTTAGCTTTTCTGAGGTTGGAAAAGGGCTGGTCAAGGATGGCTTGTGGAGCTCTGTGTATGAGCCATTGAGCAGCTTTGAAGTCCAATCATTAGTAATGTAGCCATTTTGCTAGCGTTAGGACATCTAGCAATCATCTACCGGCTCTAGGAGGTAAGAATTATATTTTACCTCAAAATCAGAATTTAGTATCACTCAGGCATAGATACTTTTTGCCTTTGCTGTTTGTCTTAACTGGGCAAAGCTGGGTCTCAGAGAAACATAGCCACTTCCTTCTATTCTATGATGGGTCAAAGCAGACCTTCCGGAATCTTTACTCGTGGGACCTTTTCTGGTGAATTTTTACTTCACTGTCAATATTCTTGAGGTAGGTAAATGACAGACTCAGTGGCAGTGCCAATATTGAGTGCCGGTAGTTGGCTCTGTTATTTCCTAGATGACAGAGTTGGCCAGTAGGCTTCTAGTTCTTTTACATCAACAAAGGTCTACTTTATCACCCATGCACCTAAAATGATACAGAAATAGCACACCACTTGCTGGAGACAGACACAGTCATGGGTCCACTCATCCAAATAGCAAATAACACAATCTAAAACCCAAGTAGTTAAATAAAAAAACGATGGCCTTTATTCATCAATCCCCATTAAACATTGAAATGCATCCATCTTTCTTACATTACTAAGCAACAGCCTTTCCATCCTTTCACCCCTCACCCCCCTAAATTAGGCTGCCGAGTTCATCTTCAAACCCAAGATGATTTTCCTCTTTTTCACGCTACTTACATTTTATTGTTTCAATATTAAAGCCGATCTAGAATTCTTTTTCTCCTATGTGTGAGATGGATGTTAATACCGGAGACATCTGTCAGCACGTGTTCAAGATGACATCACAGTTAGGCCCTAAGCAAGTATTTCAAGGCAACGGCATGCTGCTACAGTTTTGAGAATCTAAGTATCACGTTGGTACCAAGAAGCACAACTCAGTTTCAGAAGCACACTCTTACAATGGACACATTATTTATTTCCACAGTCGTGATTTCAGAAATGCGGTTTTCTGCTTTCCTGATGGTTCCATGGCCTCAGATTTAATTCCTGAATGTCAATGACAATCTGTAACAAAAGAATCGAGTAGACGAGGAAGCAGAATTGTTTCAAAAGGATCAATGACAGCAGAGAGAGGCCCTTGGCATTTTAAAAGAGATACACAGACATAGTAAAGGATAAAAGTGAGCCAAGATACACAACTTTGTACATATTAGAAATATCCAATGTGCCACCAACACGATTTCCCTAAAACACAAAAAAAATCCCAGTGACTGGAGTGAGCCACGCTCATCTGTCTTTGTGTCACTCTACATTTGAATTACCAACCCTCTATTTTTTCCACATCCTGACATTTATTAAGTAAGATATTTCAGCCAGAATTTTTGGCAATATGCTTTTTTTTTTTTTTTTTCCAATTACAACAAGCCACACAAAAGTACTACCATTAATGTCCAATGATTGTATCAGGCCAAGCCTTTCTGAATTACACGTGATCTTTAAAAGATTCTCCGTCTTCCCTTCATGAGTCAGCAGTGCTCTGTCTCCACATAAATCGCTGCCGGCCACACGCGTATGTCACAAGCTCATATGTTCTCTTCATCCAACATTTTGTTGATGCCATCACAAAGTTTCTGTAAGTGAGGTTTAAATTTTCCAAAGGGATTATACAAGGCAGCCAAAAAATCACAATCTGAAAAATGATCAAAGACATTATTAACCCGTCCGTGAGACTTGGCGGTGAGGTGGCGCTGAATGATGTCATGCAACAGCTCCCGGCACTCATTCAGCAGCCTGGACAGCACGTTGCGGTCGAAGGTGTATTCCACCTGGTGGAAGCTGACCACCGTCATGGCAAGCTGGTGGACCTTCTTCTTGAACTTCTCCATCAGCGCCAGCTCGTCTTGATTGAACTGATTGTTCCTGTGGAGAACGGCCAGCTTGATGACCGTCTTGATGAGGTTCTTGATGACCCTCTCCGCCTCCTTCTTGTTTTGGGTGTACTCCTTGGTCACCCTGTAGAGCTCATCCAGCACCTCGCTGCTGGTGTCATCGATCAGCGTGGTGGCGATGGATTTGGATACCATTTTACCCAGGATCTTCTTTTGCGCCTGAACGGCCAGGTTTTTGGAATTAAAGACATCTGTGGCCACTACAAAATAAAATGAAAAAGGAGGGGCAGAAAGAGCAAAAGATCAGTAAATAGCAAGCAAAATGAAACAACAAAACAAATCTCCAAGTATTAGGGAGTATTTTCTCTCTTTCCTTCACTATTTACAGTTTGTCTCCCACTTACTGATACAAGTTTCTGTTCAGAAAAGAAAACAGATTCAATGTTTTGTACATTTCTGTGCATTGGGTTCTCATTTGTGGAATTAATGGGTTTATGTGTAATTAAAATCCTTTATACCTTCTGCTATGTAGTCAGTGATTTCTTTAGCAGTTAACATTGATAACATCCTTGAAAATAACTTTTAATTTAAGGGGGGGCTGGAGGGCTGAAGAGATGGCTCAACCGTTAAAGGCTCACAATCAAAAATATAAAAGGGGTGGAGAGATGGCTCAGTGGTTAAGAGCACTTGGTGCTCTTGCAGAGGACATATGTTCAGAATTCAGAACCTACACTGGGAGGCTCACAACAGCCTGTAACTCAGGCTGTATGGGGATCTGACATTCTCTTCTGGGCACCAGCACATATACAGCACACACTCGCACAGATGTGCACACAGTCATATAAATAAAAATAAAAGCCAGGCGGCGGTGGCACACGCCTTTAATCCCAGCACTCAGGAGGCAGGGCCAGGCAGATCTCTGTATGTTCAAGGCCAGCCTGGTCTACAGAATGAGTTCCAGGAAAGCCATGTGGTTGCATAGAGAAATCCTGTCTCAAAAAAATAAAGAAGGAAGGAAGGAAGGAAGGAAGGAAGGAAGGAAGGAAGGAAGGAAGGGAGAAACTCATTTGAATGAAAGCAGGTTAAATAGCAAGGCCATGATACTGAACAAGATGGAACACTGACTCCAGCAAACTCGAAGGAGAGTCCTCTTTTATAAACCAGTTACAGAAAGCCTAAGTGCCTTAGACATTGGTCATCGCTCTTCCCGCCATCCCACCCACTTTGAATTTCACTCCCAGATGTCAGCTTTTGGAAGGTCACACTCCAGAGAGAGCTCACTGTCAGCTGCTGTTCCCGATCCACTGTTTCTTTTAAGTCTTGAGGAAATAAGCTTATTTCATGAGCCAATGAAACATGCTACATGAAGAACATACTCTGGAAAAGCAGATCCTCGAGTTGACTTTTGGCATGATTGTAACTTAATTTGCCAGATGTTTAACACACACACAAGAGTTGCACAAATTACAGATTAATAACACATGAAATGGAATGTGTCTACTTAAGGGCCCAGCAGTGAAAATGCTCTACAAACCACCATTAGTTTTATTCTACTATGATGACCCCTTCTATGTGCTGGATGCAATCTGAAAGGTTGCCTACGATTCTGCTTTTGCTCCTTCCCCTGCCTGGCTGAGGGCCTCAGAGCTGCAGTTCTCTGGGTATCTACTCCACCATAGGATCCAGGGATTTCTGTTCTCTCTGTTCTCAGCACAAATGCCCTTAGAGCAGTTGGAATACAAGCATTTAGAAATGGAGATGAACAACTTAGGGCACTGATGTTGTAAAATGGTTTCTAGTTTGGATAAAAACTAGCATTGCTAGGAAGCAAAATGGCAGGCGTATCAAGGTCGGGCTTGAAGGACACATAGGAGCAGTAACTGCATCAGTGTGCAAGTGTCGGGCTAGCTGGAAGGTGGGGACAAAGAGAATCCACATGACATTTGAAATCTGGACTCACAGCAGGTAGATCGTCTCATACAGGTTATTACAGAATGACTCCTCGTGTGTAGAACTCACCCAGGAACACACAAAGCTGTGCGTCTACTGAGAGGATGTCATGGAGGAACCAGAAATGGTGCCCTCCCAACTGTCATACTGAGTTACAGAAACACGAAGTGAGAGTGCAGAAGAACAGAAATGCGTTTTGAGAGAGAAAAGGAAAGTGAAAAGCTGTGAGAAAAGGCCAACTTTGGGAACGTTTCCAAGCTTTTAAACCATTTTTAGTTTAATAGTAATCTATTCTTACCCCTGTCTCTTCAATGATTCACAAGAGTGTTAATTCACATTAATGAAATCCTACACAAAGAAACGCTACCCCAGCAGTTCATATTGCCACATAATGGCCAACGACCCTCTTTTATGTTATAGCTCCAGATACACACCTTAACAAGTAAATCTGGTTTCTACGGGAAGAGATACACAACCACTTTCAGATACATAACAAAAAACTTAAGATTTCAGCAACTTATTTTATATAAAGGCTCTTCTGCTTTGAATCTCTTTGAGATTGACAAACCAACCCCCCATCTAGAATCTACAACCATGTTTCCCAGATCAACACACTTGCTCTTGTGAAATACTGAAACCAGAGAGAGGGAAGGGAGGAGAGAAGGAGGGTAGGAGGGAGGGAGGGTGAGGGGAAAGGAGGGAGATTCAGATTCCTCAGTGCTAATTGCTCAAGGCTGGATTTGCAGCTTTGTAGCTTGTCAAACTACCTTTCTCATTAAATCTCAACATCCCATTTTGTTTCAAACATAAAGAGAAGCAAGAACTCCACGGCACAGCATTTTAGCTTCCTGCAAGCCAGGGAGGAAAAGCCAGTCTACTGCAGACTAAACTAGACCATCCTCATTTACTGTAACCGAGTCATAACCCAGACATGGAAGTTGATCTCTGAGGCTTTTCCTTTCTTCCCAGAACTTCCACATGACACTTCCATTTTAATCTTTAGATCAATTCAGTGCACTCTTCTCCCTCTCCACTGGGAAGACTTACATCCAGTGGGTTTATTTTTCAGCATTGGAAATGGCCTCTTTCGAGCCAAGCCAAGGGTTGTGGCTGACAGCTGCTTGCCAGGGATATGTGGTCTGGGATCATAAAATGTGACTGTTTTCTTTCTTGGACATTAACTGCTGCTAGTCTCGCCTGCTCCAGATCATTGTCAGTTCGGTATGCTCTGTCAGATCTCTCAGAGGCCTGCCACATCTCAGAGCTAATCCCAGACTCCTGTCTAGTCTCACCCCCATGTGGCACCATCACCATGGCTTCAGAGAGCACCCGTGTGCCACTGACTCCCACAGTCCTAATGCAGCCTGACTTCTTCCCCAGACTCATTTTGCAAAAACATTTAAGACTCTTTTCTTTTGAGATTTTGCAGACATCACAGACGTACCATGTCCCTAACTGAATCCTTGCTCCTCTCCCCTTACTCCACCCTCCCTGTCCATTACTTACCACCCAGATTAACAGCATCTCTCCCAACCACTGCTCAAGTCAGAGACCTGGGAACCATTCACCATCTCATCCTCCCTTTTCCTTGGTCCATTACCAAGTTTTTTTTTTTTTCCATTTTCACCATTTATTAGTTTCTAAATTCTATCCAATTACTCCATCTCTGCAGACATCATCTAGTTCAACTCCTTTCCAGTGTCTTTTCACGCTACAGTCAGGGTATTTGTAAAATGGACATAGAAAATGAGGTTCTTTTTAAGTTCGTTGCTAACCATCACACTTCCCAGTTCCTCAAATCATCTTTTACCTAATTGTTATCGGCTCTCCCTTTGGGCCCTGAGCTCTCCAAAAGCAGACTCCATCTGTCTACTTCTCTGTGACATGCCCTGGGCTTGGGCAGGCACCAGTTTCTCCCATCTCTTCACCATACTTAAGTGCTTCTCAAGGAAAACGTTTTGGCCTGAAGAAACACGAGCTTAAAATACATATTTGAGTGTTTCTGTTTGCTTATTTTAAAACTTAGAGAAACGGGCACTTGTTGTAACTCACTAAATACGTGGATTATGTCATGCTGTGTGTCCCATGTCCCTTCCTCCCCACAGTGTAAGCATACTTCAGAAAGTGGTTTCTCTTACCACCAGCCATTAGTTTTTTTTTTTTTAAAGAGGCAAGATTTATGTCTACTAAGGGAATACATCAGAAGCTAATAATACAGATATTTTGAGTATAAGCAAGGTATACTATTTCTGACTGGAGCTGCAGGGGAAGATTAGCCATCCTGGCCCATCTCTGCTTCTGGTTTGGTCTGTGTTTAAACATGGGACAGAGAGACAGACCAAGGCATGTCCCTGGAAGCCACCGAGATGCACACAGATGTTCTCCACGGAGACAGTGTTGAGAATATTGACCCACTGTTTATCTATTAAGATGAATTCATTTGCCTTGGAAATAGACATGGAAATTGTTGGCTGAAAAAAGCCATGCGTGAGGTCCTACTCAATTTCTAGTTTTTGGGGGAAAGACTGTTCTATAGAAAAGGCTACATCGTACTTTGCATCTGCTCACCTCACCTCTAGGACTTAATCAAGCAGTCTGCTTCAGCAATGTTTTCTGTAAAACAAACTAATATTTAGGGAATCCTGGTTTTACCATCAACAATCATAAAGTTAGAGATAAATATTGATGGTAAAAATATTCTGACCCATGTGTGCAAGAAAAAAAAAAGTGCTCAGAACAAAGATGAAAAGCCTTTTGATAAAAATCAATGAATGAAGAGTATAGTTTTCTGAAAATTAACAAAACTGCCCCACAATTGCTAATACCACACAATGAAGGATTCAAGTCATTTTACGTATTTATCAACAAACACGATCTTTTTCACTCAACAGGTTTATTACACTTGGCATTTTGGAATACTGACCACAGATACACATGTCATCCCAAATCTTTACCTAATTATACTCAATTCTGTGGATCCAAAAGGAGGAAGTATGGGGAAAAAAAAATTTGGAGAGCATGTCTAGACATTGTGCAGAATGCATTCATGTTCTTTAAACAAACAATGCAAAACCTTAGCTCTCTTATATTTGAATAATTCCAAATGGAAATGGACTTAGGAAAAAAAAGCCAGCTTTGGGGATAAGGAAATGGTTGGAACCAAACCCAGCTTCATCATGAGTGAGCTCAGTGGGCTAAGATAACCTCCCTACCCTGGGATCTAGCAGTGCTCCAGGGAGAGTGATTGGTTGTGTATCCTAACACCAGTCTCTCTACTGAAAACCCCGACATAGGAAAGCAATAGTATAGA